GGTTCAGGTCTCACGCCACCCACCACTCCGCCATACAAGCCCGCCGAGGAGGACCTGTACAAGCCAGACATCTCCCAGGAGCCAGGGAAGGAGGACGGGACGGCTGCCAGCCCTGGGGGCACAGGGGACGTGGCAGCCTCCCGGAAAGCTCCCAAGAAGCACCCCGAGAGGACAGAGCTCTTTGCCCACCTGAGCCGAGCCGCCGGGCGCCCCGTGCTCCCCGAGCAGCAGGTCGTGCTCAAGCGGCCCTTCTCCCGTTCCTTCGGGGACCATGACTACTGCCAGGTGCTGAAGCCCGAGGCTGCCCTGCAGAGGAAGGTGCTCAAGTCGTGGGAGCCCCCAGGCCAGGTGGAGACGGAGCACAAGAGGAGGGTCCCGGCCGCCCACTACCAAGGGCTAGACCTTGGCAGCAAGGAGGCAGGCAGCCAGATGCTGTGGAAGGATGATGTCAAGCTGCTGAGAGACCAGGAGATCAGAGCCAGCTTAACGAAGCACTTTGGCTTTCTGGACAGTGCTCTTGATGACGAGGACATGGTCTTCTGCAAGACCCCTGAGTATGACACCGTCTTTGAAGACAGCTGCAGCGAGAGCCGCTCCCCCCTGGACGAGGGGGCTTTTTTGAGGAGGAGGAGGAGGAGGAAGAGGAGGAGCACAGCAACACCAAGCTGTGCCTGCGGAGAAACCCCCTTTCCAGGACCAGTTTGCATTACTGTTCCCGGAGCAGGTCCAGCTCGGGGTCTTCGTGCTGCCGGTCCCGATCGCCCGCGAGCAGACGCACCTTCAGGTACAGGGGGCTCGCGGGAGGGGCACTTGGGGCTGCTCTTGCCCCCTGAGTTTTTGCCCCAGTGCGTGGCAGCCCTGGCTCTCTCTGCGCTGCTGGCCCAAGTAATAAAGATGCTAATTAATGAAAGACAAACTATTGAAATAATTGGTACTACACCAGCAGCTGCTGCGAACATCAGCCATGGCCAGAGAAAGCAGCACCTGGGCAAAGCATCCAGGGGTTTCCATGGCACTGGGAGTGATGGGCATGGGCAGGGGCCAGAGTTGTGCCTGGGAAGGGGCGAGCGCCAGCTGGGAGCCCCCTCCGGCATCTATCAGAAAGGACTTCCCAGTGTCCTTGCCACTGTTTCCAGACCCCCATCTCTCCTTGGCTCTCGGTGCTCTGGCGTGCTGCAAACACCACGCGCCTCAGCTTCTCTTTGATGGCTGAAGCTTTCCCTGCTGGATCCCCCCCGGCTGACCTCCTCTCCCTCACTTCCCAGGTGTGAGAGCAGCGAGCAGTGTCAGGGCAGGAGCGGGCACCGGGGCCAGCTGGAGAAGAGACGGGAAAAGGCCATCGTAAGTGAGCGGGGACCCCACGCTGGGACAAAGCAACCCCAGCCCTCAGTTCATCTCCTGCTCCAGAAAAGCAGCGATGGAGCCCATTAGCCCTGGCTTCAGCATCCCTTGGTGCAAGGCCAGTGTTAAACAAGGACATGGGGGTGGAGGAGGGAGAGAAAAACCCGACGCGAAGCGGAAGCCACCGGCAATTGGCAATACACCGAGTCCTTGGCACAGAAACGCCCAGAGCATCCTACGCCGGTGCTTCAGCGCAGTTGGCATTGGCAATTAGTGGTGTGAGCTGGGGAATCCCAGAAGCTGCTCAACTGTTAGATGCAGTCCTGCTGCAGAGGCAGCCTCGTGCACCGGGAACCTGTGTGTGCCCACGGATGGGAACTGGGTGGGGAGTGGGCATTGTGCTGTTGTGTACACACACACACATGCTTACACGATCACACATGCCCGTCTGGCACTTTTTCCTGCAACACAACTGAATTTTGCCCCTAGCAATTCTTGGGAATATTTC